ATGTCTGTTACCTCTTCACGCTTAAACCGCTAAACAGATTTAGATGAAATTTGGTAAAGGGATAGTTTGAGTCCCAGGAAAGGACACAAGATAGTTTTTATCCCAAAAAACATCCTTTAAGGTGGTGAAAAGTGGGGTGGCGGTTTGTATGGGGTATTATAAACCGGTGAAACGATTTAGATGAAGGTATGGAGATAGTTTGATTCTTAAGAAAGGACATAGAGAAAGTATTTCCGGGCAGATACGACCTTCAAACCTTCGAGAAAAGAGCGTACTCCTTCCTAAAAGGCCCGGCAACGCGTTTGTGACTCCTGAGTTGCAGACGTTTATGGGCGGCGATGGTTGGTGGTGAAACGTCTGCTAGTCTGCCCCCTCTAACATAAAAAAATTATAGAGACCTTTATTAATATTTTCTGAGAACACTGCTTAAGGGCCAGGCGTTTGCAGAAAGGTTTCGTCTCGATAGTATAGGTACCGACACCGATCTTGAGCGCTGACCTTCACCTGCGCAGAAGTCGATTTTTGGGTACCTTTTGAGGTATGAAGTAGAACGAGATGGGAGGGGGGGGCAATTAAATCATAACGTCAGCCAGTGATTGGCTCACTGATATTGTCGCTGCTCCTGATTCGTTTTCTCGTACTTAAGTACGACGAGTACACTGCCGAGCAAATTAATAGGGTCTTTCTTTTTTTATTAATAATTCAATCATTTTTACTTACACTAATCATCCATTAAATTTCCTGGTACTTAAAAATTGAGATTTTTATGCGAGTGTATTAGATAGCGTAATGTATTCTCTAATATGTACCTATAACACAATACGACGATGAAGAAATGGCTAGCGTACCAGTCAAGCTGTCATGCCTATTTTACCCTGATAATTTTATAAAGAAAATATTTTTTAAACAAAATTAATACTTATACTTACCGTTTTCTCTTACCATAGAATTAAGAATAAGTTATTACTACTTAACGTCTTATGGTTTTGACTCTATTTTTATTCTATTCTAACTGTGAAAAAATAAACAAAAACAAATGGGTGTGCATTTTATTTTACCGTAAGTGCACGATACGCAAAGCGATCCCCACTCTGCCGCCGAGAGCTCAAAATATGTGTCGGTAACTATATCTCGATTATTCTCGATACTATCGATAGACCCTCTCGCTATCGCAGTTTTTTTTTTTGGAATATGGTCACATCTGTTGTTGTTGTTTGTTTTAAATAATTCTAAATGCTCAAGCGTCAAATGTTAATTAACTAGCGCAGAAATAATAAGAAGCTAAAATTGTGAAATAACAAATTGCACACGATGCAATTATATGTCGATTGGTAAGTAGACTTATTTAAATACTTTTATTACTAACCCTTAAAAAATACTCCATATTTATCTGTAACTTATAAGTAGACGTACAACTTAAAAGTGCGGGAAACACAAAACTTACTTGAATGCGGGTTTCGACCGCAATTAATTGTTCTATTTGCTAGCGAGCGAATACAAATAAACTAAGAACAAGAAGTTTATATAATTATTTGATGTAGATTTTGTGTAAATTTCAAAAATAGAAAGCCTAGGGTAAGTTCCAAGTTTACAAATTGTTAGATATTGGATAGCAATAGGCTCAAGCGACAAGAAGTTAATAATACCCACTTCTCAAAACCATCACTTTAAATTTATTTACGATCTTTATCCACTTCTCAATTACTTTGTCAAAATATAATCTCTCCTGTTCAGTCACAGTTTGCAGAATGTGTTATCAAAATTATAAATTGGTGCTGTATGTGGTATTAGATGATTTATCAAGTTACCTACAATGCCTTTAGTAAAAAATGCTTAGAATGGAGGTGATAGAATTGAGAGGTAGAGGCAGCAAAATAAGACCTGACTTAAAGGCCTCAGTTACCAGGTCATTAAATTCCAAAAAAAAAAGGTAGAGGCAGCTCTCTACTACTACTCTCTTATTAAAGGAAGTACAACTTAAAGCTGTATTTCAAATGTTGAAGCTTCAAGTGCCAGATCTAAGCTCCAATTTCTTGTATAAGACTTCCCGATGCCCTGCATTTTCTAATGTAATAGATTTTTTTTTAAAAACACCGCATATAATTTTGTATAACACATCTCACAGCAGAAATTTACAATCATCAAGGTATGACTAAGATACTCAAAATGAAATCCTTAAGGATTTTAATATTTATTCTTTCAATCACTGTGCTTTCTCTTAAAGTTTCTTTTAAATTAAACTTAAATTATTTTGAAGAAATCTTTATGCCAATTGCTCAAAACTAACACCTAATAATGGCCAACCTTGCCAAGGTGATTCATGTCCAAGTGATATACTTGTCAAGCAGGTTTATCCTTTTACCTAATCCCTTATTGCACTACAGTCTAGTGTGTTTTCTTTTGTTGCAGCTATTAATAATGATATGTATTTTTTTGTATTTAATTATGTAATTGTTATTCTCAATGTAAATGGAAATATTATATCCTTTCTATTGTTATATGACTTTAACTGCCAACATAATTCCGGGAGAAGTTATATTATAAACTGTTTAATAGACACTCATCATTTCGGTATACTTAATTGCCTATGCACCACTAAAGCTGTGGACTTGTACCTAGTTCTAGCAGACGAGTTCTAGCAAGTGTGTTGCCTTCAACAAATCAAAAATCAAAGCTAAACAGCCTGTAGTATATAGTGGACTGTTATAGGCTGTTGATGATGATGATATATATATATATACACGGTGATTTTGAAAGCGTTTTGGAAAAGAACATTTTGAATTATTTTTCAATAACAGAAGCGATATATAACGTTAATTTAATAAAATATATTTTTTTTTTCATCAAAGTCGATATTCATATCGTTTACAGAGAAGAAGTGAGAACCAGTAGTAGGGCTATTCAATCACACGTAGGTAAATACTACGAATAGAAATGCTATGCGTTTTAATATCGAGTCACATAAAATCGTATTCGCCAATAAAAACAAAGCTACCGAGTTGCGCCGGAGTAGTCCAACCAATGACGTCTGCCCCGTAGGCGCATGCGCGGGACTCACCTGTAATCGTGAGGCGTCCTTCGCTTTCAGTCGGTCAGTAATACCATAACATCGTGACGCCACGCTACATTGATTAGCGCTAAAATGAGTCGACAGTACGAATTTTCAAACGTGGAGTACTTGGCAATGGTACAGCTGTACGCTACTGCCAACTACAACTTGGAAGAGGCTCGGCGTTTATATTCCCAGCCGGAGCATTTAAATGCACTACGGCTACGTGGAATTGAAAGCCCTCAAATTCCCTCCACACCTACCATCTTGGCTGCAACCCAACGTCTTCTCGACCACGGAAAATTTCGTGCGCCTACTCATGCGCAAAGTCAAGGACGTTTAAATTATTATTCGCCGGAGTGTAGTGCGTGCATACCTGGACAATGAGTTTAGTGATCGGTGGATAGGTCGAGGAGGGCCTGTGCCTTGGTCACCTAGAAGCCCGGACTTAACGCCCCTGGATTTTTTCTTATGGTCGGAAATAAAAAGACTTGTTTATACACGGGAATATGAAAGCCGTGATGATTTACGCATTGCGATAGTGGACGCTTTTGATAAAGTGAAAAGTGATAGAGACACATTAAGAAAATTAAAAAACAATTGCATTAAACGTGGACGTTTGTGTATTGAACGCAGCGGACTCCATTTTGAGCAGTTGCTTCGATACAGAGAAGTGTGAATAGTGTAAATAAACTGTAAATAGGTATGTAAGTTAATTATTCTGTAGATAGCTCCGATTCTTTAAATACGCCTGAAATATTTATACCTACAGTCCGTTGATAAATTGATTTGTTGTGAAAAGAACAATCGTGGTTAATAATCGAAAAGAAGTTTAAATAAAATAGGTATTTCCGACGGTCCTACGCCCGTGTAAAGTATGAAGGACAAACTGGAGTCTATCTACGTAAGTACTCGCTAGCTGGCGCCAATAGGTATACTTTTATCAGCTGCTGTTAGCGTCATCGGTGCGCAGCGGCCGCCGAAACGGTTTCATTCATATAAGATAATGAATGAATGATCAGTCTATTACCACTTTCCAAGTCGATGGAGTAAAAATGAATATTAAAACTGAAACTTTTTTTTAGTTAACATTACAATTGATTTAACCATTTTTATTGGTACTATAGATGATTTCAAATTAAAATGTTTCGTTTCCAAAACGCCTATAAAACCACCGTGTATATATATATATATACATACATATATACATACATATATATATATACCGAATGTATAAGGAAAACCATCACAGCTAAGTAAAAAAGTAAGTAAGAGGTAGTAGAGGAATAATTAGTACAAATTTCATTGAAAATTAGTTAGATACAGTTTTTAGTTATGTGGAACAGGTAAAAAAGGTAGGTAAATATGAATTTACGGAACATGTGAAATTATGAAACAATTTAATCACAACATCATAAATAATAATTCCTAGATGTATGTATGTCGTTTTTACGTTCGAATAACGCATTGCCTCGGACGGATATGCCTAACGGATAAAAAAAGAATTGCCTCACACTGTACAGAATGATACTATGATTATAATCACTCTTATATCTTGTCATTAAATTAAATTCCGAATTGATATTTAGAATCGATTTGTTTGGGAATAAAAATCTACCAGCTGTTATCTATGGCCATGATGTAATAGAGAAAAAAAAACAGGTGACAGATGATTTGTTTACAAAAGCCATTACATTTTGTTGTGCAAGCATCAAAATACGTTTATTTTTTAAGAACGTAGTGATAACTATAAACCGCCTAGAAAAACTCAACATCGATTGTTATATCCAAGAATTCAGAATAAAGGTGAGTAATATAAATTATTGCAAGTTCTTAAGAAAGATACCCATTTCTAATCCTTTAAAACCTTTCAGGCGATCATAGAAGACGAGTCGGTAGTAAAAGTTGGGATATTGTTGATGTAAGATAGTAATTCCGTAATACAAATAAAATGGGACCTCCTAAAAAGTTAAAGAAATATGACTCAAGTCGTGGGAGTGATAGATCAGGTAAAGCATTCGTTCTTGTTTTTTTATGGCCCGAAATTCATTTATACTACACGTGACATCATTATAGGTAAAAAGAAGAAAGTAGAAGAAGAAATGACTATAGATCTGGTTGATGATGATAATACAGAAAATGTTGGAGTGCCTGGGGCTGCTTTGCAAGATGCTGAGAAAAATGATCAAGTACCTGAAGACGAATTTGGTGCAAAAGACTACAGGTACAAAACAATAAATTTGCACATGAACTGTTAACAAATTTTGGTCAGTTAATAGACAAACTCAATTTAAAGATATTGTAAAAGTGGTGGGTTCCAATCCAAAAATGTGTTTTGATGTAGTCTCCACTAGAGAATGTCCATGTCCACAAACTTTTAGGGTTATAGTTGAGGCTGCTATTTTGTCTGTTTTGCCCAAATTTTTTTAAGAGACCCGTGGTAGCATATTTCTCATAGGTCATCATCCTATGAAGAAATCACTACAGAAGGAACAGCAAAAAACCAATCCTGTTATTGTTGAGGAGAATATACTTTTCTGCAGAAATTGCCATTTCTCTAAACTTTTCCTCTGACTATAGAATTGATGAAAGGGTAACTAGCTATTTTGACAACATTGTATATGCCTACAGCTGGAAAAATACTAATTACTTGGGAAACTTTTTGATGCAGTAACACTTCGAAACTTAATTATTTTACCCAAACTATTATTAAAACTCATATTATTTAAAAATAAAATTGTAATATATTTTACTCTTAAAAGCTTCCATGTGAAGTTCTGAAATAATGTTATTTTCTATAGATACTTATTTTTTAAATCATAATAATTTATATTATATTCTTCACTATTTTAGAACTCAAATGGCATTAAAATCTGATAGTGCAAGTAGACCATTATGGGTGGCACCAAATGGTCACATATTTTTAGAAGCCTTCTCACCGGTCTATAAGCATGCTCACGACTTTTTAATTGCTATTGCAGAGCCTGTGTGCCGGTATGTATAAAACTTTCTTTTAGTATAGTATTTTTTGGAATAACCACAAATGTTAAAAGTATTTATCTTTTCAGTCCACAACACATACATGAATACAAATTGACTGCATACAGTTTATATGCAGCTGTGTCTGTGGGTTTACAAACAAATGACATTATAGAATATCTTCAAAGACTCAGTAAATGTGCAGTACCTGCTGGAATAATAGAATTTATACAACTATGTACTTTATCTTATGGAAAAGTAAAGCTAGTGCTCAAACACAATAGGTATGTATCCTGCATGAGTCTGTACCATAAAGATTTTAAATTAAGGAATTATAACAATACAAAAGACTGACTATATGCATTTACATTCAAACCATAAATACAAATTCTTAATTCTGAATATTCTGAAAATATGATTGTGATGTCAAAGTTGATACGAATAAAATTATGTATACAAGCCTTAGAAGTAAATTTTAACTAACTTTTGATTGTTGTATTGAAATGAAACCGCCAATTAACATATTCTTATCGAAACTACACATAGCTAATAACTCATATTACTATAGAAAACACATTGTTATAATAACCATACTAATTTTTGACATGACACACAAGCACCATCATTAGATAAGCTCCAAACTGATCTAATGAAGGTGTGAGGAATAGTTTTTATTCAGGTTGCTCATTATAGCACGTTTTTATTTGTTTTCTATTGTTTCGTTATATTTAATTTATTAATAATTTAAATGTGTATTTCTTGATATTTCTAAATTCAACATAAAATAAGACCAAAAATAAATATTAAAAGCAAATTTTCATAAATCATTCATTTTAGATATCTTGTGGAGAGTAAACATGTTGAAGTACTACAGAAACTCCTACGAGACCCAGTTATACAACAATGTCGACTTCGACGCGATGGAGATGACGATTTGCTTACCTCTGCTTTACCAAATAAACCCACTACTACTTCCAAAACAGGTAATAACATACAGCAATACGAATTCCTCTTCCCTCATATAAGTACAAGAGAAATGAGCTCTCATAGTCAAACATTTAGTATTTGTTTTAGTTACTATTAATCAATTATTAATGTCAGGTACCACCTTTGCAATAATTGCCAGTTTTGCAAAGAAATAGATAAACACAATGCAATACCAACTAGGCTATACAAACTAAGTTTTGCGCTTGTTGGCTGTAGGGGCAAATAAGCAACATGGGTGTCTAATTATTATCCATTGTTTTTTATTGATGGGGTGAAATAATGCCTAATTAATGTTATAATTTTAACTTAAATAAGGTTGACTATCTAATGACTGGCCTTTATTGGGATGGTGATGTGGTTGGGTAAAACTAGTTTTGCCATAATCAAAATGTTGACATTTCCATACTAAAAAGTTACTTGAACCAGCCACCAACAATAATCAATGTTGGAAGGAACTCAAGTAATAATAATAAACGTATTTTATTTCCCTATCTTTAGGTGATAATATCGAGAAACTGGCCTCTAACGGCAGTGTACCTGATGATATAAGTCAGTTTTATCAACAACTCGACAAGGAAGACGATGACGATGAGGCTACTGACATCACTGCTAACAACGCCGTCGCCTTTGAAGTCGACCCTGAGAAAATTGAGGTTCTTGTTTATCCATATTGTTTCTCAGCTTTGTTTTTGCACGCTTAACCAGTGTGAAAATGTGTGTCTTTATGACCCCATAGAACTCAATCGATTTAAAATTATAGTGTTCTGTGCCGCGTCTGATGATAAAAAGCTTCCTATAAATCCTGCTGCGGCAACCGGGACGGTATATCCTCATCACATATCAGCCGAAAGACGTTCACTGCTAATAAATAAATGTCAATAATAAATATGTTTACAGGTAATTCAAAAGCGTTGCATTGAACTTGAACATCCATTGTTAGCTGAATATGACTTCCGGAACGACTCGATCAACCCGGACATTAACATAGACTTAAAACCCACAGCTGTATTGCGACCTTACCAGGAAAAGAGCCTCAGAAAGATGTTTGGCAACGGCCGAGCTCGGTATGTAGTTCCATAGTTTTATAGAACAAAACTACAACAAAAAAATCTGTGTACTATAATTTTCACAGTATAAAGTTTCGAATATGGATAGATGTAATCGACCTTGGAGTGTTGTGTAACAAATATAATATACATCTAATAAATATAATATAATAACAATTCAAAAAAGCTAGTATGCTAGCAAAGAAATAGTGGCTAATAGTATTTGGTAGTGAAATAACATAGAGAAGATAAAGTGTGATACACTAATTGATGTATTTTGATTGAAATGAAAATAATAACAAATATAAAGAGAATATTTATATTGGTGTTATACCTTTATTTTGTGTTTGTTTCTTTGCCACTGATGAGTAGTATGGATTAAAATGTATTCAAAATTTAAACAACAAACCAGCCAACATGTTATTTAGTGTAAAAGCAAATATGTTTAATAATGGTATATTACTTAGGTCAGGTCAGGATGTCCGTGTCGTGACGGATTAAGAATACGGAATGTCATTACCCCAATTTATCCCGTGGGTGTCGTAAGAGCCGACTAAGGGCACAAAACAACGCAGGACACCAGCACTGCAAAAAGAAGGCAAACTTTACATAAACCCTTTTTTTTTTTTTCTTTAACGTGTGGATATCCCCTCGGACCGTCACCCCTCCGGGGTTTGCGGCGGGGTGGTGTGTCGGACTCGGACCAACTAAAACCACACGGTGTGCCACTCTGCGCCTGTAACAGGAGGGATCCGGGAACAGCTGTTATTAAGACATCCGGACCCCTCCTAGCGCCGGCCCGCTCCTGTTGCGGGCCCCGTCTCAAAATTATCCTCTCTTTGGGCGACGTCCGGCACACGCGGACGCCGCCCCCTCGCGGCTGGCCAAACTAATGCGGGTGGAGGGGAAACCCACCCCGTCCACCCGCGGCCACACTCAGGGCGGCATGAGGCGGTGATAGGCGCGCCTCCGCCGCCCGGTTCGCCGGCGGCGGATCGGGTCCGAGTGGAGGTCGTCCTCCCGGGCCTTCTCCGCCGCCTCCTACTGCGAGATTGCTTCCTCGCAGAAGGTTGCGACCGCGGTAAAACAACTGTCGCTACCGGCCATGGAGCGTACTACGGCCGGTAGCGAGAGATCCACTCCGATGACTGCAGTGAGGGCCCGGCGCTGCGTCGACCATGTGGGGCAGACCGCTAGCGTGTGCTGGGCCGAGTCCTCACTGCAGTCGCAGTGGTGGCAGGCGGGACTCAGTTCCCTCCTAGCGACCGAGTGCAGGTACTTTCCGAAGCAACCGTGCCCGGAAAGCACCTGCGTCAGCCGGAAGGAAAGGGTCCCGTGCTGCCGCCCTGCCCACTCGGCGATGACCGGCTGGAGAGCCTCCACGGCGGCGAAGCCAGCGCGTGGAGTCTCCAGCCGGAACGACCAACGAGCCATCGTGGCTCGGCGAGCGGCTTCGCGCCACTCGCGCACATCTTCGGGCGGAGGGCGAAATCCGCTCTCCGCCCGGGAGTCAGCCACTCGCCAATAAACTTCGGCGAGCACTTCCGCCTCCAAATCCCACGGGGGAGTTCCGGCCAACGCGCATGCCACCTCCGTCGAAACGGTGCGGTAACCGCGTATGGGTCTGACCGCCATTACCCTCTGAGGGCGCCAGAGGCGTGCCCTATTCTGGGTGGTCAGAGCCGCCGCCCACACCGGTGCACCGTACAGTGCCATTGACCGGACAACCCCCGTGTACAGCCGTCTTGTCGCGACGCTGGGTCCACCCAAATTGGGCAAAAGTCGCCCTAGGGCAGACGCAGCGCCGACCAGCTTTGGAGCAAGCTGTCGGAAGTGCTCGTCGAAGAGCCACCTCCCGTCGAGGATCAGGCCCAGATATTTCATCTGGGCCCGAACCGGTACGAGGACCGAGTTGACCACGATTGAGGCGCCAGGGGGTGGACCACGACGGGGCCCATGAAATAACAGGGCCTCCGTCTTATCTAGGGCCACCCGTAAGCCCAGCGCCTCAATGCGCCCGACCACCAGGGAGACTCCCCTTGTGGCCAGGCGCGCCGCCTCTTGGAAGTTTGCCCCCCGGGCTGTCACCAGGGTATCGTCTGCGTAACAGATTACACCCAGCCCGGGGGGGAAATCGGCGCGAAGGGCCCAGTCGTACCCTATGTTCCACAAGAGGGGTCCAAGAACAGACCCCTGTGGAACACCGCACGACATGGGCCGACACCTCAAATTACCCTCTCGGTCCTCGTACACGACGGTACGCTCCTCTAAATAGTCTGCCACTAGCCGCCTCAGGTACTTTGGCACCCCATGATAGTGGAGTGCTTCCCTGATGCAGCTGAATGGCAGACTATTGAATGCGTTGGCGATGTCTAATGACACCGCCAACAGCACGCCGCCACAGCTCACGGCCTCTTCGGTCACGGCCCTCAGGCGCAACACGGCGTCGACTGTCGAACGCCCCGCCCGAAAACCAAATTGGGCGTCCGACAGATCGGGGCCCACCTCGTAAAGAGAAACTTTACATAAACCCTATACCAACCCGTCTGGCCAGCGTGGTATAGTAGGCCAAAACCTCCTTTCTAAGCCTATGTCCAGCAGTGGGCTATTAAAGGATGTGATGTGATGTGATTTAGGTCAGGAGTGATCGTGCTGCCGTGCGGCGCGGGCAAGTCGCTGGTGGGCGTGACGGCCGTGTGCACGGTGCGCAAGCGCGCGCTCGTGCTGTGCAACTCCGGCGTGTCGGTGGAGCAGTGGAAGCAGCAGTTCAAGTGTTGGTCAACTGCCGATGATAGTATGATTTGCAGGTACGTTTATACTTACCGGATCTCATTCTTTTCTAAACTTTGAGAGCTTAGGAACAAAAATCTAATTTTTAATATTCCCTCGTGAAACCTGTTGCACTCCGATCTGCTAGTTTCTTAGTCACGAACTGGTGTCTAACTGCAGTGTTCTCTAGCGTGGAACACAACTGAAGCAGTCAGGCTTCATACTTCATTTTCTTATTCGAATTTTTCAGATTTACGTCAGAAGCTAAAGATAAACCAATGGGAGCCGGTATTCTCATCACCACATATTCTATGATCACCCACGGACAACGTCGATCGTGGGAGGCAGAGCAGACCATGAAGTGGTTACAAGCCCAAGAGTGGGGCCTCGTTGTGCTTGATGAGGTGCACACTATCCCCGCCAAGATGTTCCGTCGCGTGCTTACTATTGTACACTCGCATGCCAAGCTTGGTACGTATGCATCTTCTGCTGAGGACTTCATTTCTATTAGAAAGTGATAGAAGAAAAAAGAAAGAAAATGTTATTTGGTACAATCAGAGACACTTAATTATAAGGTAGTAGCCACCTATAGTAACCGCTTAAACCACTACGCCATCTGTGCAGTCAAACCTTTATTTATAAAAAGTAAACGGTGCAACCTCTAAATGAAATTGCTTTTATGATTTGCGGTCTCTAGCGTGCGGGCCATAAATATACATATGTATCTAATTTACCTACTCACAGTTATACGTAAAGTCTTAAGTAAACCAACATTATTCGCATCAGGTCTCACTGCAACATTACTCCGAGAGGACGACAAGATCGCAGATCTGAATTTCCTGATCGGTCCGAAGCTGTACGAGGCGAACTGGCTGGAGCTGCAGGCGGCCGGCTACATCGCGCGCGTGCAGTGCGCAGAGGTGTGGTGCCCCATGACGCCGGAGTTCTACAGGGAGTACCTCATACAGAAGTAAGTTCTACAGGAAACACCTAATACTGAAGTAGGTTATACCTTTTTTGGATTACCTCACACAGAAGTAGGTTCTACAGGAAATACTTTACATAGGAGTAGCTTCTACTGGGAATACCTTATACAGAAGTGGCTTTTATAGGAAGTACCTTATAGAGAAGTATTTTTCTACAGGGAATGTCTCATACAAAGGTAGGTATTCCCAATACCTCATACAGAAGTAAGTTCTACAGGGAATACCTTATACAGAAGTAAATTATACAGGGAATCAAAAATAATTTAGCAGCAATAAATTCATCATCAACAGGCCTGAATAGTCCACAGCTGGACATAGGCCTCTCCTTAGAAAAGAGGTTTTGGCCTATATTCCCTGTATATCACGCTTAGCCAGACGGGTTACGTATACGACGTTAGGTGTAGAGAGTTTGCATACGGTGAAATTCTATCCAGTGATTTTTTCCTGTTTCTGCTGCTGTTCTGTAATCGATGATGTTCAGTACTATATTATTTAGCACTTCTGTTGTGTGTGTAATAATTAAACAACGACTGAAAAATATATATAAATCCAATTACTTCTAATGTTTTATAATTTGTAACTATCACTAGTCGCATAAGAACTATATATTCACATTAACGTGGCTAATAATGAATATAGCTATAGCTAACCCGAACCAGTGGTCTACCGTCGTAAACTTGCTTCTCTCACGAACAATTGGCTTAGTTAAAAGGATTAACAAGAACACTAGCAATGTACCACCAAGACGCATACGATTAGCCTGGACAACCTATTCCAATCTCGGGTTTGCCTTTAAAATTAATCTCAAACCCGAAAAAAAGGCGCATATTTGACCAATGTATCCTGCCGGTTCTCACTTATGGTGCCGAAACCTGAATTTTCGCCAAAAATAAACTGCATTAATTGACCATGGCCGAGGTACACTGGAAAGAAAACTGGTGGGAATCACATTGAGAGACCATAAAACCAATGAGTAGCTGAGACAATAGACTAAGGTTACAGGTGTGGCGACCCTCAGAAACGGGGAAAACGTCCCCCAGGAACTAGGAGGCTTACACCTGAAGGGTTGAGATGGGCTGAAGTAATGTATGCTGTAGGTTATTAGTTTAAAAAAAATAGGTCGGTCGCTACATTACAAAATAAACAATTATAAAATTATTTAAATTAGATCAATTGTAGGTCTATTGCTGGACACAGTTGGTTTTGAAATTCAAATGTTCTTTTTTCATTTAGTTTTGTATGAATCGATGTCATGATGATATCAATCTATGACTTAACATTCTTTGCTTGTTTTGTTGCAGAATCAATAAGAAAATGCTGTTGTACGTAATGAATCCTTCCAAATTCAGGGCTTGTCAGTTCCTAGTGCGTTATCACGAGAGACGCGGAGACAAGACTATTGTATTCTCAGACAACGTATTCGCCCTGCGACATTATGCTGTTAAAATGAACAAACCTTACATCTACGGGCCGACGTCACAAAGCGAAAGAATTCAAATTCTTCAAAACTTCAAATTTAATCCGAAAGTGAACACAATTTTTGTGAGCAAAGTTGCCGACACAAGTTTTGATTTGCCCGAAGCGAACGTTCTTATACAAATCTCGTCCCACGGCGGTTCAAGGCGACAGGAAGCTCAACGTTTAGGTAAAAATATTTGTTTAAGGTAATAATAAAGTGTTTGTATTGTATTAATAATTATGTAGGAAATATCCTTTCTGTGTTGTTACAGGTCGTATTTTGCGAGCAAAGAAAGGTGCACTTGCAGAAGAGTATAATGCTTTCTTCTACACTCTCGTGTCCCAAGACACTTTGGAAATGGCCTACAGCCGGAAACGACAACGGTTTCTCGTTAATCAGGGTTACAGCTACAAGGTAAAGTTGCACAATCTTCAGAATTACATGTTTGATAATAGTAATGAAGTATTTATTCCAAGGTGCAATAGGACATTTTCTGTTAGTAAATACTTAGGTGGTAGAAATTCGATCATAATTTATTACTGATTTATTCGCTTATTTGGCAGCTGTTTTTAATTGGATATACATTGCGGTTTTTGTGTTCATTTAGCTCTACTTACATGATGGAGCGAAATATGTGTTTATCGGGATACTTTTTAAAATATATCATCAAAGGTATTATTATCTTTCCCTTGTTGTTAATAGCACTTTACTTGCAATGTCTTTGTAGATACATAACAATGTTTCGTTTGTTTAAAACTCGTTTCGTTCGTTCATAGGTTATCACTGAGTTAAAAGGAATGGATCAAGAGCCTGATTTATTCTATGGCACACGGGAAGAGCAGGGCATGCTTCTTCAACAGGTAATATCGTTTCAAAAGCACGAATATAAAGTACTGTCAACGAAACTGTCACATTTATTTTTATTTCCATATTTAATCTCGCTCAGAACGGTATCGTATTCTCTACCGTTTAAGACTCGACACGCGTGTTGCGGTACCGCGTAAAGTATGTTATATGTAAAAGTACAAAGCGTATGTGACGGCGCAGGTGCTGGCGGCGTCGGAGACGGACTGCGAGGATGAGCGCGAGGGCGGGGCGGGGGGCGCGGGCGGCGTGGCGCGGCGCGGCGGCGCGCTGTCGTCGCTGGCCGGCGGCGACGACGCGCTCTACCTCGAGCACCGCCGCGCCGCCAACGCGCTCAACAAGCACCCGCTCTTCAAGAAGTTCCGCTGCTAGCCGCCCCGCGCACCCCGATAGCACCCGACGTATTTATCTGTTTCATCTACTTACATACGAATAAAAACAAGTGTGTGTGTTCCGACGCACGACTGGAGTTTACTGGTTCAGAACGATTCGGCTGCACACAGGTATACCGAGTTATACACACATAATTATGTAAAAGATACGCGCGATAAGTTGCGCGCAAAAAACGTAACGAAGTCATTCGATCGCTAAATTTTACTCTTCATATTTTTTTTCATACCAGGCGCTTCATATGAGAGTCGATTCTTAAGGAGTAAACTCTAATAAATGCGGAAACTTTGGATTCGTTTTACATTAGTGAATGTTAAAACGCTCAAAATTAATATTGAACATGTCAAATTAAATGATGTTTAATATAATCAATAAATACAGCAATCTATTTAACTGTTTTATTTACCCTATTATCGTTTGAAACTTACCTAGCACGTGTACACTACGTTTTTACCTGTTGCAGTAAAAGTGAAAGTGAGACTGGAGTTCCGGAATGGGCGATCATCGAACTCCAAGGGCTTGTACAAATAAAGAAACACGATACCGAGGGTGCTACGGTCATCGGCGACTTGCACTACTACTCGAGGAATCGACATCCGGTGCTTGTGCTCGGCCACCACATCCTGAACGGGAAGGAAATGAAACTAGAACAGCCGATGGCGGTCATAGAGAAAGTGATTGTTGATAACAAAACGAATTATAAAGTTAAAGCAGTTGTTAAAAAGAAATTACTGTTTAAGTCTAGACCCAAACCTATAATTTCCAACGTAGCAGAACGAGTGTAACCGTTATATTAATAAAAATATAAAATTAAAATAAATCTTAGTATTTTTCTCTTTTGGTATTTGTAGTACGATACAAATTATAATATGCCTCGGTGGTGCTGTGGTAGCGTATACTCTACTGAGGTCTCGGTTTCGATTCCCGGGTCGGCCCAAATGTTTGTATGATCTGCAATTATAATTTATTTTTTGGCAAACATTACATCTCTGTCTTGTTTCTTTTTAATTCATGTAAAAAAATTGATTATACAATTAGCATATCCCTCTCATCATCATCAATCATCAACAGCCTATACTAGTCCACTGCTGGACATAGGCCTCTCCTTAGAAAGGAGGTTTTGGCCTACTATACCACGCTGGCCAGACGGGTTGGTATTGGGTTTGTTTCAAGTTTTCCTTCTCTTTGCAGTGCTGTTGTCCTGCTTAGTTTGCTCCCTTAGTCGGCTCTTACGACACCCACGGGATGAATTGGGGTGGTGACAATTTGTATTCTTAATCCGTCACCACACCACAGCATATCCCTCTATCTCTGTCTAACTGAGCTCTGGTTGGCTGGGGAATACGAGGGGTTAATAAGTAGCCAATCGCAGCTTAGCTAAACAGAGACAGGGAAATATTCGGCATACATCCCTCATTGCCTGTATCGCTTCCACTTACAGGCAGTTGTACTCCGTGTAGAGAACACGGGATACTCAATACTCAATACTTTATTGCTACCATAATGTAAATTTCACAGTTGGTAAAAACTTAAGCTAGGTATCAATTATGGACCCTGTCGGGCACAGCATAGAAGAGAGAGAGAGAGGGGAATGATTATTACTACATTTATTTATAATATATTATATATATATATTTAATCTGTATAGTCATTATTTTATTTTTATTTAAATATTTAATAAATATTTATTGCACTAAGTTTGTATTATTTGTTATAAAGGTTATTAGTATTATTGTGATTTATTTTGTTAATTGTTGCAATTGGTTTTGGTCAGGCTTGACTATGGTCTCGTGATGTTTTTTTTTTTTTCTGAAACAAGTGTAATGTTTTATAATGTTGTTAAATGCATTGTCACGAATTGTTTATTTCATCCATATATTCTTTTACACTGTAATAGCTTTTTCGCAAGAGGAATAGTTTTAACTTATTAATGAAAATGTTATTTTTTTCTTCGTTCTTAATCTTTTCTGGTAGTTTATTATAAATTTTTATAGACATAACTAAGGGGCTTGTAGAATGCATAGTTAGTTGGGAAGTTGGGAGGTTAAGTCTATTTTTATGTCTTAGTGTGAATTTGATTTTTTTGTCTTCTCTTTTACTATAGTATTCCGGGTGTTTTCGAACAAATTTACTCATTTCCAGAATATAAATACATGGAAGAGTTAGGATTTTGAGGTTCTGGAAATGGGGTTTGCAGGACTCTGTTTCTTTTATATTAGTCAGAATTTTGATTAATTTTTTTTGTAGGGTAAAGGTAGTATGTGCCTCTGAACTATTTCCCCAAAGGATTATGCCATAGCTGAAGCAAGAATAAGCGTATGCGTAGTATGTGACAAGAGCAGTAGAAAGGTCTGTCGTCTTCTTAATTTCGCATAAAGCGTATGAAAATGTTGCTATTTTTGATCGATTTTTTTTTATGTGAGCTTTCCAGGTAATATGAGTATCTATAATTATGCCCAACAAGTTAAATTCCTTAACGACTTGCAGCTGAAGCCCTTCAAAGTTAAAATTTATATTTAATGGTTTCTTTTGGTATGGATGGAAAGGTATTATTTTGGTTTTAGAGAAATTTATTTCTAAGTTGTGTTCTGTCATCCAATCTGTTGTTTTAGTGAGTATTGAGTTTATGTTGTCATTAAGATTTGCATTGGCGTTAGAAGAAACTAATATGGAGATATCGTCTGCGAACATGACACATGGTTCCTTTATGTACTTTGGTAGGTCGTTGATGTAGATAAGGAATAGCAAGCACCCTATCACACTGCCCTGAGGAATTGAGGCGTTTATGTCTATTGAACTTGAATGAATTCTTTCTATTTCTTTTTTATTTTGGTTAAAGTATTCTAACTCTACCAGCTGTTGTCGATCTGTTAAGTATGAGGTGAGCCAGTCATGAGCTTTTCCACGTATACCTATATTGTATAATTTATTTAATAAAATTTTGAACTGCACCTTGTCATAGGCCTTGGTCATGTCAAGTAAAATACCTATAGCATATTGTTTTTTGTTTATGGTATTGAGGGCTTCTTGGATATATCTATAGACAGCCAATGTTGTTGACTTATTTTTACGAAAGCCGTTTTGGCAATCGTCAAGTATATTATATTTTTCACAGAAAGAATATATTCTATTGGTCATGGTCTTTTCAAAAATCTTTGAAGCAGTAGGTAAAATGGCTATTGGGCGATAGTTGTTAGGGTCTGTTTTTGCTTTCTTTTTATGGATAGGTTTTATTATTGCTTGCTTCAACCGGTAAGGGACAGTTCCTTCTTCAAAAGATTGATTAATTAGTAGGTAAAGGGGTAAGGTTAATTCATCTGCACAGTATTTGAACAAAATTGGCGGAAACTCGCCGATGCCGCAACTGTTTTTGCTTTTTAGTTTTTTCAATACCTTGTTCACCTCGTATGGGTCGACAAAGGTGAGAAACATGGTATTTTCCATTACGTTGTGTAGTGGGGCAGTGTTTGGTTGTGTATCATGCTTATATGTAGTTTTCTCCCCAATAGAAGTAAAAAAGTCATTAAAGTAGCTAGCTATTTGTGTGGGTTCTGATATGAGGGTATTGTTGATTTGCAACTTTATGTTTTCTTTATCTTTTTTTTGTTTTTTATTTGTCCGCTCGTTTATGATACTCCACATGGTTTTGGTCTTATTGTTTGATTTTACTATTTTATTTTTATAGTGGAGTTTTTTTGCCGTTGTTACTGTCTTTTTTAATATTTTTTCATATTTTTTATAATAATTAGTCAATATCGGGTTGTCTACTTTTTGTGTAAAAAATTTCATTAGTCTTTTGTTTCTGCAGGATAATTTAATACCTGCAGTTAACCAATACTTTTTAAAATGAGTTTTTAATTTTATTTTTCGTTTTGGTATGCACTCATTTAGGATAGTTGTTAATGTGTTGTTGAATGTATTATAATTTTCGTTTACATTTTGATTTGAAGGTAGTATATTAGACCAATTTATGGTATGCAGTTTCGATTTGAATTTTTTCATGTTTATTTGGCTATAAATTCTTTTTCTTGATACACTGGGGTATGCTTATATCTCTATAGGTATGATAGAATTTGGGCGTCTACGCCTTTAATAGCATTAATCTGTTGTTCGGCTACTATCTTTAAACATGTGACATTTCTTTAGATTCCATTGTCTTTTAGTATAAGAATTTAAGATGTTCTGCTTGTGGCTCTTCTAGAATGCTCGACCAAGCATCAACCAGTTCATTTGGTGTTAGAAGCGGTAAATTGCACACACTGGCGTTATGTATCTACCGTCAAGGAACGGGCTGGTTAAACCGGGGAAGTACTACTCCTACTCACAGAAAATCGACGATACCGCACACCATGGCATACTTAAGGTAGTCATTTCAGGCAAGTGGTCATTTTTGGAATCAAGGATGGTCATTACCGGATAGTAGTAATTTTAGGAACGTGGTCATTTTCAACCTACATTGGTATTGGTATTGGTTGTGGGCTTCGGTTTCCGCATTTAGACTCAGAGTGGTCCTTTATGCGTCGAGGATTGGTTGACTAGGTGAGCCAACCAAGCTCCTTCCAGAAGCGCAGAAGCCTCCTGGGGCGTTCACAGGCTTCTAGGAGCGACTTTATATCAGGAATGATACTTGCCCGTTGTGTGGCCACTCCCTCGCATTCCAGGACTACGTGGGCGGCCGTTTCTTCAGCTTCCAGACATCCCCTGCACAGGGGACTGTCCGTCGCATTGATTATGAATAGTTGTCGGTTCAGGGCTAGATGTCCTGTAATAGTTCCGACAACCATTCTGAGTTCCGGTCTGCTAAGACTGATCAGTCTGCAGGTGAGTCGTGGTGTGACTTGATTCAGCACCAGTTTGGACTGTCTGCAGCCGGGTGAGTTTTTCCACCTCCGGTTGTGTGCTTCACAGGTCCGTTGCCTGACCCAGCATCGTATTTGGTTAAACGATATGGGCAGGAGTGGCGTTGGGCCAGAGGTTGGGGTTGCCGAGCCCCTCCTTGCCAACTCATCTGCGGCATCGTTCCCGTGTGAGTTACTGTGCCCTTTAATCCATTGGAGGAGTACCCCATTGAATATAGCGAGCTGTTCCAGTGCTTGGTGGCATTCGAAGACAATACCAGAGGTCATTGTGTTGCCCTCCAGTGCCTTTAAGACGGCCATGCTGTCGGATATTATTCGGATGTTGTAGTCCTTGATACCCCTTGACATGGCCGTTGTGGCAGCGTAAGTTATTGCCACACATTCACATTGAAATATGGAACTGTGTTGGCCTAACGCTAGTGATATGTTTATATTTAGGTCTTGCGAGAAAACTCCGGCTCCAGTTCCTGACCTAGTCTTGGAACCGTCCGTGTAAATTCGGACTTCGTTAATGCCGGATTGATCTCGGTCATTTCCATGTATCTGGATGTAGTATCTTCTTGTGAAGATATGGTGTTTTGGGATTCTATCGCATGGAGCTGCTATCAGTGGTTCGTATTCCACCAATTGATCCCATAATTTGGAGTGCGATCCCTCACTTTTGTGCCATAGACCCAGGTGTTTGAGTCTAATGATCGCCATGGCGGCCTCCTGCTGTATGAATAGATCCAGGGGTGGCAGACCAAGAGCCACCTCCAGTGCGGCAGTAGGCGTTGTGCGCATACAGCCAGTGACCGCGGAACATGGAAGTCGCTGGAATTGCTGCAGTTTGTTTATGACGGTGCTAAGCTCTGTTCTCTGCCACCAGACAACAGCACCGTAAGTGATTATTGGACTTATGACTGTCCTGTATAGCCATAAAGTGA